TTTTTTTTTTTTTTTTTTTAAGAGCGATACGCATTCATTGTTAGATGGATTGGAAAACAGAAACAAAAAAGGGGGGACATAAACTCATCCCTAATTCCACCACTCAGGAGTTCTGAGTTATATAGTTTGGATTTTGGTGACAATCTTCAGACCTTTTTCTAAGAATATTAAAAACAGTTGTACTGTATCCCAGTGGGATTTTGACACTTGCTTTTTTCACTTAATTTTTCATAATCTTTTAAAATTAAAAATGTGGAGTAGAATTTCTATTTCAGAGGAAAATTTTTCTTCCAGTTTCTTGAGTATATTAGAAAATGGGGAGGCTTTTAAAAAATACCAACACATGCCCTCATCTCCTGTTTACTCATATTTAATTGTTATGGAATGGGACCAAAGAATCAACATTTGTTAAAAGCTTCCCTGATGCTTCTAAGGTGTGGTGAGCTGAGAGTACTTGGCCCAGTAAATGAAACAAAAGACTTTGGGTAGAAGATATTGTTTAAGAATATTGCTTGGTGTTTTGTTTTTTGTCTTGTTTTTTTTTAAATTAAGTTTATTGGTATAATCTAGGTATACAATACAGTTACATTCATCATTGGGATCTTGAACCTTTACATAATAGGCCTTAATTCTCATTTTTTCCCCTTGTCCCTGCCCTCCCTTCTCCCCCTCCTCCCCTCCCCATTTACAAACACTTTATTTCCATTTTTTTAGTTTCTCATATTTTTTTCCTCTCCCTTATTACCTTTCCTCCACCCTTCCCACTTTCCCTATACCTTTAGCCCTTTACTTCCTATTTCACATTATTAATTATCTCATTAGGATCCTGTGTACTATTATAGTTTTCCGCACCAGAGAAAGTATTCAGTATTTCAGTTAAAGAAATCTCTGTATGAACATTAAAAATAGGGAATCCTAAAATAAAACTAAAGAGAAAAGTAAAAGAGAAAAGGCAATGATGTAGGATTAAAATAATCCTTAATTCTGAAGATGAAAATGGTCCCTTAACATATTTAAATTGCTTCTTGCTCTTGTAGTCTTATTCTTTTTTTCATTATTTAGAGAATACTTTATTAGTTTCTGTAATCAAACCCACATAGATACGACCTTACATATTTAGTACAATGCGTTACCCCTGTACCAATGGAAAAATAAAAATTAAAAAAATTAACATTTCTAGACCAATATGGCTGTCCAATTCTGTACAATGCCAACTCAACACAGTAAATTGGGATAACTTTTTCCAAAGTTGACAGC